AAACCTTCAACACAAAGCATGCGTTTCTCACACGCCAAAATAACAACCACGGTGAAATGCCCTGCACAAAACCCCCTTAAACAATACAATCTCTTCATGAAACAGAAAGACGTACAGGAATATCAGGATCCAGAGAGAACAGGTTGAGTCTTTCCTCTCGTCTGGCAGCTCTCGCTGATTCCTCGGTCTCAGAAATATACTGAAACATCACAACATCAGTGTTAATCATGTGCAGTGCTCTTATGACATACCATTAGTTACATGTTTATGTCTATAAATGTTTTGCTTGAGGTGTTTTTAAGATTCTAAACAGTAAAAGAATGACACTCACTGAAAGGATCATGAACTGCATTTATATATATATATATATATCTATATATACTGTATATTAGTGCTGTCAAACGATTAATCGCGATTAATCCAATTTTTGTTTTTGCATGGGTTTGTATTTATATATACATAATAAATGTACACAGCACACACACATATATATTATGTGAACAAAAACTTTTATTTGGGCTGCGATTAATCGCGATTAATCGTTTGACAGCACTAATATATATATATTGTGGCCAAAATGTATTTGAAATATATGCTAAATATATGTTGCAAACAATAAAGCTCAGTGAAATAAATTTTTGACACTGAAAATATATTAATTTCAACCTTCATATACTAAAATATATTTGTAAATGCATTTCAGGGGCAAGAAAATACATTTCAGTAGCCTTTTATTTAAGCTAAATACAAATGTGGATGGGCAAAATTAGATTAATAAAGATTAATCAAATATATGAATGCATTTTCTTGGACTGAAATATACAGAGGTCAAAATATATTTTAGAATGCTTTTTTTTTATTTATACATTTAAAATATATTTTCAAATATATACAAAAAAGGGGAAAAATATATTAGTAGAAAATACATTTGCGTAAACATATTAGAAAACAAATTTTAGCAAATATATTTTGTATATTTTGAAAAATATTAAAAAATATATTTTTTGCTGCATGTGAATGTGCGCTTATAATGCATAATGATTTTTTCCTTTTTCTATCCTGATTTTAGCCCTCTGATTGAATAACTCTGTTCAAAGGTGAGCGAATCAAAGCCCATTTCCTTTTTTCAGAACGAGGCTGTAATGATTGTGTCTCTAGGATGTAACAAGACAGAATTACAAAGCATGAATTACCTTGGCCAGCTCAGGGTGGATTCCGTTTTCAGATGGTTCCTCATTTTTTTGAACGGGGACATGATTCAATGACGCATCAATGATCTCTGAACAACAACAACAAAGAAACATTTTAGCTGAAAATGAACGAAAGCACAATACAAACATATAGTGATCGTCACAGATTCCACTAATTGTATAGTGGATAGTTTCTGTGTCAGGTGATCCTTCATGCTTTTAGCTCAGTGCACCGGCTAAGTATGAGAAGGATCTAAAAGAAAATGATGTGAATTAGGGAGATTATCAGCTGACCTATCTGAAGGATTTGTGAGATCACTTGTAGAGCCTTTTAAGAGCTTTTTCACACAGCAGTTCCTTAGCAGACCTTATAAACACTTAATCATCTTACAGTTTGATTAATTTGCATCGGTTGCATACAATGCCTATCAAATAAGCAATATATCTTACTAAATTAAATTTGGTGGTTCAAACAGGTCTCAGGAGAAACAATATACAATATATAAATGAATGAAGTTCTCACGAGACAGCTTTGTCTAAAGAATTTGTTTGTTTTTGTATTTTCCTATGCATTTTTAAAGTACCTTATCATTGAAAGAAATAAAGAATCATTTGAAAATGTTCTATTTGATTATAGAATCACACCTTCATC